TGTCTAAGAGCGTAATTGTCCAAAACGAGCCTTTCAATTTCCAATCTACAAGAGAAATAAATGTTTTAAAAGCCAATAATTTACGAAATATGTAGATTTTCACCGGAACTAAGTGGTTCAGTTGCTCGTGTTGGAAACGGGTTAAAGACATAATCGATTTGACTATATCATAAGCATCAAGCAAGTCTGATCGCAATGCAATTCAATTATGCTTGGAAATAAGCAGACAACGATGCGCTCTCGAAGGTGAAGCGAAGGTTTCGTGGAATATTTGGAATCTAAATTGAATATTTGAACTTACATTTTCGTCTTTGGTCTCCATGAGAACACCGAGTTCTATTACAAATCTGTGGATGTTTTACAGTTGCGAAGCTAAGTGCGCGAGCTGTAGCGAAGAGTGATTCCTTACTCGTTAACTCGCTCACATTTAACCAGCTCGACCCAGAGATTACGTCATAGATTGGGAGTGAGACTTTCTACTTTCGTCCCTAACTTCCGACTCTATACGAAAGCCAGGCAAATTTTCCGCCACTAGGTGAAGTTTGAATCGGTGAAGACAGCTTTTTTTACATAGAGCACTTTTTTGTGAAGGGCAGTTTAAGTCCGATATACACAGTATTTTTTGGTTTATCGCTCCTCAAGTTAATTCCTTTGAAGCGTGACAACTAGTGGCATTTCCCTCGAGTTGCGTGACACGTAAGTTTCCCAGTGGCATGTAAAGCTTGGTTCGGAAGTCAAAGATTTTTGTTTTGTTTGGTTTTGCTAGGCGTGTACTGTTTCAGCTTAACAGGGAAGCTTGTTCCGCGATAATAACACCTCTCTCACTTGAGATTTTCCCTGTTTCACTGCTACCCAAAATAGTCGGCTGGACTGTGAAATATAGTACATGTAACAATATTGTTTAGGTTTCTGAATCTTCGGTTTCGAGGTTTTTGTTAATGCACGGTTCGTGTTTCTAAACTAAGTGCCAAAGCTCATGTCTATATAAAAGTCCATTTTTTTTTTCCTCGATTGTACCCACATCTTTGAAGACAATTATTTTAGGTGCTAATTCTTGTGGCCAATCATAGCTCAGCTTCTAAACTTTAAATGCTAAGTATTTTTAGAAATGGCACAAGGAAAATTGTTGTTAAATTTTTTTCTCCAATTCGACGGCGCATCGAAAGTTATTTCATTTAGAATTTGCAGAACATATGTGACGATGTTCTTATGACGTACAGCTGATAAATTTTTAAACTATAAACTTGTGAAAGTCATTTAAATATCTGCACAATTCGAATGAAGCATTTAATTTTTGAAACAAGTTGAAATGGGATTTCACATGCCGACCGCTTGTTATTTGTTTAGTTTGAATACAAAAGGATTTCGATTTAAACAACTGTACACTTAATTGCGTCAACTTTATGCACCTTTTTTATTTTCAGAAATATTACAACCAACACACTGTAGAAGTTTCCAGTATTTGCTTATGAACTTGATGTGACTTTCGTTTTTTGTTCGATAATGATCATGCTTTAAAATAAAAAGCTGTTATCTTATTCACGTGGTGAGGTAGTCATATTTGGCCGAATGAAGCCCATGACACGTTGTTTTGGTTTCCAAACTCCACCTTTGAGGGACCATTTTTTTTTAAAAAGAATCAAAATTTATCGTATATTGAGAGGTCTAACCAAGCTGTTTTCCGTTACATCAATGCGGTAGCTTTAGTTTCCTAAAAATGTACCACATCTCCTCACTTTTAATATTACTGTGCTGAACTTTCTCGGAAGTTACAGGATGATTTGGTTTTATCAACTGAGTTAACAACATAAATGGCTACCGTTAAGAGTTCCTTAATCTGATTTTCCGAGCGTTAGGCGAACGTTTCGTTCTGTCGAAGGGCTAAAGCTCGAAACTTCAGCTTTAGAAACTCTCTACGGTGGCCAATTTACATTTCCAACCCCGTTGATAAAACCAGATTATCCGTTATATCGCCCCGCAAGGACCCAGCACCACATTTTCACTAGAAACTTTCCCCCTTGATCTTCCCGGCGGTTAGGCTCTGTTACTTGCATCTGCATAATTTTCATTTGCAATTGTACTCTCTTCATACAGGAAGAAAGGCGGATTTTGGTTTTCCATTTTCTTTACGAGTCGCTCAGCAGTCTTTAGATGATTTACCAAGTTTCGTTTCCTTAACCTCGTTCTTCGTTCTCTTGGCATAAAACTGTCTTTTTTTCCTTGCCCTAATTCAATAAAAGTAGATAAACCAGTATTAAGATTTGTGGAAGATTGAAACGTTTCTTCCTAGTCATACCTAGCGTTTGGGCGTTTATTGGTTTTGTAGTTGTGCCAAGAACGCGTTTTATTCTTTGGGGGAAGGGTGGGTGGGAAAGGAGTTGAAGCCAAAGTTTGACTCCAACACTTCGTATGCCCTCATCAGAAATAAAAGTTAACCGTAATTAGCTGGTGAGCAATTATTTGAGGAGAGTCTCCTTTAAGAAAAACTCTGATGTACTCTAATCACCCTGAAACGATTTAGAAAGATTTTGTAACTAATCTTAATTAAAACAAACATCGGGTATCTCGTTTATTGATGCAGGATGCAGCGAGCGTAACATCATCATAAAGAAAAGACAGTAGTGAATAAACACAAAAGCAAAGTTAAAAGAGATGCCTTCGAGTGGCTGTTGCATATCTTACAAAATCTTAACTGAAAAGCCTGGTAGCCCCCTACGGATTCATCACACTTAAAAGCACGCCTAAAATGCTTGTACAGTTAAAATGAATCATACCTGATGAGCATACTTCAGTTTCATTTGCAAATCGTTGCAAAATATATTTAAAATAACCCTAAGTTAACCACTAGCTCAAGTGCGGCGAGTAAACTAGAACAGAAAAACTAAAGATAAAATCTAGAATAAGAGAGGGACTGATTAGTGTTTGGATTCCGGTCAGTCTCGAGCCCTTGAGTTAACTCAAATAGGGTCAAATTACGAAAACAGCTACCAGTTTCTTCTTAATAATCTTATGCTCGCCATGCGCACCGACTGTTTTGTACCAGTTGTCGGAATAGATTTCCAAACTGTTTAACAGGGTAAACTTTCAATGCAATACACATGTCCGAATAGTCACAACAAACGGCAACACAAGATTAGGTGGTGCCAAGACGCATGAACTTCGACTACATAGACTTTCTTTCACAAAGCATCGAGTTTCTACATCCCATACAAAGATAGATAAACACTGTATGTGATCCCTTTCAAGCTGAAACAACGATGTTTGTTTATGAGAATGAAATACTGTATCGTAAGCTACAGTCGTAGCTGTATTTAAGCAGTCGCTCTCGAGGAATGACTTAATACAGGTTGACCGCTAATTTCAGGTTCCACAGAAAATGGGTTAAACGCGATTGAAGAAAACGCCATTTGGTTCTTAAAGTCCTAAGAAGAAAGATAATCTACTTTGCGTTGAACTCAACGTGCTAACATCGATTTCGGGAGATAAACATGGAATGAAATTAACTTGATAGTAAATTCTCAGTTTTATTTGGTTGGTTCGCCTCTGAGTGACTGTTCCATACAGGTGAAGGACAATACAAACAGGCCGTTGAGATTCAAAACAAGGGTGATCACGACCGCGTTGTAGAGTTAGAAATTATATTTCTAAAAATAATTTCGGGACTGCCCTTAGCAAAGGAGGGTATTTATGAAGGTGAAATTTGCCTTGTGAGGAACGCGCTATCTGTCGCACGAATGCTCGTTTATTTCTGGTCAAAATGAGGAGTTTCTGTTCGACTTAATTTGCATGTAATAACAATTTGATTTAACAAGAGTTTGTTTCATTTGGCTCTCGTGGAAACCATGATCAGATTTTCACGTGTGTAAACATTCCTGATCATTGCCAACATATTTCTTTAAATTCGAGTTTGTTTATTTCTTTTTATGTGTGCAGGATTGTCTCGAATCACTTTTCATTAAATTATATTACCTATTAATGTTAATGTCAACCTATATCATGGCTTCATTTATAACTTTTCATTTGCAAATAAAGACCAATAAAGGCAAAATTTCGCTTTCTGGCAATGAAAGTGTGATACATGCAGTCAAATATATTTCTGGTTGAACTCTTTATGAAAGGACTTTTAAGAAAAACGTAACACCTTTTTTCTTCGAATTGCTGAAAGCCATGAGAACACAAGCAAAAAAGTGTTAGGTTAGAACTGAAACAAAAAGATATTATGAAAACAGTCTGTGCAACTGAATAAACCCGATGGCTCTCAATCTATAGTCGTAAAGCCGAAGTTTTCACTTCATTGTGCAAATTACAGAGAGAACTCTAATTTCGTTTTCAGGTAAAAGAGAAAAAAACCGTCGTTGATGCCTGAAATTTTATATCGTATAAGCCCAGTTACTCTTGAAATGTTTGAAAAATTGCGTTGATTTTTTAACTACTATCGCACTGCTTGAATATGAAAAAGGCAGTTTAGTTCTTGCACTTGTGTTTTTCGATAAACCATGAAATTATTTATTTCTCCGAAAGACCGTTTTGGCTTTTTCTCTGATTTTCTTTGTGGCATTCATCACTCCTAATTTATATTAGGGAGTTTTTTTGTCAACAAAAATGCTTTTCCGCAGATATTTATTTCATGTTTAAATGTTAGCTGGACCTTTTTCTACCCTTTCTCTGTAGGATGGCAAGAGCGTTTCTTCTCGGACTTTGCGTCTTCTTTGCCGCGTTCGCCTTTGGCAGAGGCCTTAAAGGTGCTATGGAGCAAATTCTTGAAGCCAACATGAATCCAGGTAATAAACATTCGAGAGGTAAACGTCCTTTCCGGTGTGGTCTTTCTATTGCAGAAGGAAAGGGACGTCCACCGTGCTTAAAATGGTCTTCAAAATTCATCTTTCACCAGTCTCCTCTCCATCAGGTGAAATTTAAGTGAAACTCGCGCGTTTTTCATGATTTGCTTCTGCGTAGGAAGGATAAACGGCGCATGTGATGTCCATGCGATAACGTTCGCTGCGCGGGATTGGTTTTGTCCAAATTCTCGAGGGTACCTTGAAAACGGGTTTGATCTAAAAATAACACGACGGAGATTGGCTTGGGAAGAATTAACTCTATGTGAAGTCTTTCTCTTTGCCTGATCATCTCTTGTCAACATAAATTGGAGCGATTTCGTCAAATCTTCAGCCGTTTGATCGGGAGTCAAATCCCTCACTCCATTGAGAAATACTCGTTACTTACTGGCTTTAACCCTTTAATTCCCAAGATCTGATTGTTAATTCTCCCCTCTAGCTGCTACACATTTCCTTGTAAAAATAGTTCCAAGAATTTGGTGTAAGATCAAGATAACAACTTCTACCTGATACATTTGAGTATTCTCATTACCTGTTTGCTGGATAGGGGATGGATATGTAGGGAGAAGTTACATATGAATCACTTTTGGGAGTTAAAGGGCTAATTGTTATGGCACATTCAGCTCTTAATGATCTTCTTATGAATTATTCTGAGATGAGTACCTTGCAGTTTTCCTATACAGGATCTTCTGGCAAAATGGTGGTCACCCACGCTGACTGCCATCGTGGTGTTCACATATCTGGAGATTGTGACTCAACAGATTGGACTAAAATCCACTTGTGACTCAAAAAATTTAGAAAATACATGTAACCCAAGTGTAAGCTTGTAAAGACATATTCGTTGCTTCATTTACAGACCCACATCACAGCCCTCCCGGCAAGCATTTGCCCTACTATCAAGGAGACATTCGTCTAACAAAGAAACAACAGGAAAATTTAAAGAAATATGGCGACCCGTCCAAAAGCTCGGCTGACTCTCGTGCAGCTAGCAGTGTGGACAGTGAACGCTGGCCTAATGCTATCATCCCCTACACATTTGACTGCTCGATAGGTAAGTTAATATGGCCCCTGGGAAATGAAAAAACCTATTGAAATTGAGCTTATCGTCTGATGGGAGTTGAGACTCAAATTTGAGGTTCATCATTTTATTTACAATACGTGTCAATCCTTGGTAACCCCCTAGCCATCCTTAACCATCCTTGGCAAACCCTGGCCAGCCTTGGTCATCCTTGTCTATTCTTGGCTATCCTCAACCATCCTTGGCTATCCTTGGTTATCCTTGGCCATCCTTAACCATCCTTGGCCATCCTCAGTCGTCCTTGGCTATCCTTGGCCATCCTTGCCTCCTTCTATCTCACCGAACTAATAATATTTTGTAGTCTTCTCCAAGTCTGGTAATTTTCACTTTGCAAAAGATGACTGAGATGTTCATGATGTAGCGCTTTACATCATCCTCAGAACAATTAAGTCAATGAACGCAAATTTTTTTCTCCCCCTTCCCTTCGTCTAAATTGTAGAAAGGCTGCACAACTGAGATGTTTCGAGAAAAACCTTACTTCTTACCTTACTGCCTATGGTATTTTAGCGTTGTTTACACGAGATTCTAGTCTACCCTTGCTGAGGTTTAAGCTTCTAAAGCTAGACTCAGAAGAGATTATGTTAAATCTCATCCTACTTAAATTCGAAAAATGTAGGTATCTGTT